TTAAATAGAATTTAACATTCAGTCACTGTGATCCCAAAATGATTACAGCTTTAAATCTTTTACTTTCTGTTGAGCTTTTGGGTTCTAGAACTGTAGAAAACCAATAAATGGTACCCTGAAATAAAATTAGGTTTTATTGGAAAAAAAAAATTAGGCTGCTTGCCTTTTTAAAGGGTAACTTCACTTTCGTGGAGAAAAAAGCAAATAAAATAATATAGTACATGCAATGGCTACATAAACCATTATGTAGTTGGAGTGTATTCAAAATTACCTTTCCTTTTCAGTCTGCAGTTCTGTAAATTTCTGTAAAATTCAATGCAATATGACAACCTGGAGGCATTCCGGACACCACTTGTGTACAAAACAGCTTCAAAAATGCAATTTCCTGCTTGTGTGACTGGCTCACTGATTTTCCCAGAAGTCTGCACTAAAATACAAGTCAAACTTTAGGCATCCTCTGCAACATAAATTTCATTTTTGGTGATTTACTCCCCAAGTGTTAATCACTTCTAAATCAGATGCAGACTCTGCAACTTTTCTTATCAGGACACTGAAAGTGCATCAAATCATTATAACAAACCAGTCACTCCTATTAAGAATCAGTGTGCAATAGGCATGGCCAAAGAGCTATTCCTTCAGAGCAGAAGCAGGTAGGAATCTACAACAAAGTTTGCTCAAATCCTTGCAATATACATTGATCACCCAGAGGGGATTTTTTCTATCAACAAATGCAGAGTTAATCTTTAAATATGCTGGATCAAACTGAAATGATATAAAAGAAACAAAAACAGATGACTTCACCCTAAAGATTTATACCTACGTAGCAGTCATGAGAACATTACCCTGCTCTGCGCTTTGGTCTGTCACTCAAGTAATTAAACAGAATAAAATTAATTATTCCTATTATACCGCATACACACAGGCTGTGTTCTCTGTAAAGCACTTTTCCCTGGCAGTGCTGTCACATGTCATTGTAAAGTATTGCTAAAAATGACTTTATTGCATAACTAAATTACATCATTTTGCTGATAAACTATACAACACACATGGATATTACAGCTGATGCTGGCATTGATTTTTGAGGGCGTGATTTGCTTTCATTAAAGAAAACATCAAGAAATGACATAACAATCTGACCCCTGCTCTTATAACTAAACTCTGGGCAGAAATAAAACACAAATGAAGGCAGTTTCATATATGTATTTCATCTGTCTAGTTAGCTGTTTGCCTGGAGTTCATCTTTAAAGTGGCATAAATCCCAAAGGCAAACATTTATTATATTGCAGTTTACCAATTCTTAGATGTGATGGCTACATTCGTTTTCTTTTTCTTGGCTTTCTTTCTTTTATTTTCACCTGGTAATCCAGCCAGTATGTCTGTTGTTTTTCAACAGAACAATCTGTCCTGCAGATGTATCAGTTAAGCATTTTGACACAAACCATTTACAACTGACAGGGGTGCTTAGAATGATCAGCTTTTATTTATCTATGTAAATCTTTATCCCAAAGGAAAATAAATTGTTCCTGCAACTGCTTGTGTAACTGCAGTGTGAGCTGGAGTTTTGCTTCAATTTGTTAGTGTATCTAACTTTGATAGTTAATTTAACACTCCCCTCCAACCAGACTGACAATGCTGTTGTCCAAAGGTGCCCCCCGTGCTCCTTCATCCAGAGTGGAGGCACTCTAATACAGGAGGTGTGTTACTGGCCAGATCACCAGGTGAAAACAAAGGCATGCTATGGGGGCACTCAGGAGGGGGGAGGAGCCAGGAGTCCTGGCGGGGACCCCAGAAGAGGGCTGGTCTGTGCAAAACTATTAAATGGAGCAGGTAAGTATAATTTGTTATTTAACCAGTTTATAGTCAAGTGATGGCCGGGCGAGACTGCTCTAAGTTCAGGGTTGACATTATATGACATGCTTCGCTCTGCGGCGCGATCAGTCACCAGTTGTGTCCACTGGACAAAGACAAAGCCGATGACAGATCAATGTACCAGGCCGCTGGCACCATGTGATCGCTGTGTCTGATCACAGCAGATCACAGGACAATTGTACACAATGGATGGTGTCCATTAATGCCATTCATTGTGCACTATTGTGTTGATCTCTGTGATTGGTCACAGTGATCACATGGTACAGACAGCCCATCTGTACCATGTGATTAACTGTGGCTAATCACAGCTAATGACAATAGTACACACTGAATAAATAGATTTCGTAAAAATTGAGTATCACTGCTATAAGCGATCATAGTGTTAGAAAAAAAAATCCTGATCACCTCCCCAGAGTAGTACAGTGTTACTGTGGTAACACTGTATTGATCTGGTTATAAAAAATATATTTTTTTCTTTTTAAATGTAATGTCGCCAGTCAGTGTCCTTGATCACCACCGCACTATATGAGGATGCTGTACTGGACTGGTGACAGTGGGCACAATTCACCGCACAAAATATAAAAAAAACACGTTTAAATTCACTAAAAAATGCTACTAAAACACAGCATGAGTTATTTTACAAGTCATGTGGTATTTTAGTAGTGAAAACCATGCGTTAATGTTTCAGCTGTCAATGGGTGTTCCCCTCTGACAGCTGAATGTAAAAGAAAGAATTACCTACAATCAAAAAATTATTTAAAAAACAGCGTGAGCTCCCCCATCCATACCAAGCCCTTTGGGTCTGGTATGGATGGAGGGGAACCCCCACACCAAAATATTTAAAAAAATGGCTTGGAGGTCTCCCCTAAAATGCATATCAGACCCTACAAGCGAGCACCCCCCCCCCCCCGAACCATACCAGGCCACATGCCCCGAACAAGGGGGGGTGCTTTGAGGCTGGGGGGCTCCCCCCCAAGCACCTTGTCCCCATGTTAACGGGAACAAGGGCCTCTTCTCCACAACCCTGGCAGCTGGTTGTGGGGGTCTGTGGTTGGGGGGCTTATCGGAATCTGGAAGCACCCTTTAACAAGGGGGCCCCAAGATCCTGCCTCCCCCCCATGTGAATGAGTATGGGGTACATGGTACCGCTACCCATTCACAAAAAAAACCTGTAGTGTGAAAAAAGACAGGAGACAGGCTTTGACAAGTCCTTTATTAAAAGAAGGAAAATAAAAGAATGTCCTCCGAAGTAGATTCAACATCAATCACGATGCCCGTCGCTGCCGCTACCTGAAAAAAGAGAAAAAAAATGCTCCGCTCCCGACGCTGGCTCCCGGCCATCTGACTGTTCCACTGGCTTGACAGTTCTGAAATATGTAAGGGGCAGGGCCGTGGGATCTGGGGGCCCCCTTGCTAAAGGGGGCTTCCACATTCCGATAAGCCCCGCGCCCGCAGACCCCCACAGCCACAGAGGTGGTCCTTGTCCCCATCAACATGGGGAAAAGGTGTTTTGGGGGGAGCCCCCCTGCCCCAAAGCACCCCCCCATGTTGAGGCCATGTTGAGGGCATGTGGCCTGGTATGGTTCAGGAGGGGGCGCTTGCTCATCCCCTCCCTTTCCTGACCTGCTGGGCTGCATGCTCGGATAAGGGTCTGATATGGATTTTAGGGGGGACCCCACACCATTTTTTAAAACAATTTGGCTTGGTATGGATAGAGGGGGGGACACCATGTTGTTTTTTAAATTATTTTTTAATTGCCGGCAATTTTTTTTTTTCACATTCTGCTGTCAGTGAGGAACCGCACTAACAGCTGATGACTCATAGGTTGTTAGGGACTCGGCGGCCACCCATTCCTTAACAACCCATGACCGTACTGACAGATAACAGTACATACCGCAAGCCTGGACCACTACCTAATTACCGCATACATTTAATTATTTATTTCCTTTTGTGAATTGACTTTAAGATCTTTTTATGTGGTATTTGCGGAGTGCTCTTGCTATTTTTGGTAAATACCACATACTAGCAATAGTGAATTGACATTTTCAGTATCGCATTTGAGATGTGGTCATGTAACTGACTTAATTCATGCGATAAGCTTTAGTGAATTTTGCCCAGTATGTTAAAAAAAAGTGAAACATTTTTTTTTTTAATTTCTTCATTTTCTAAAACATTTTGACAAAAATGGCAACTTCAAAAAACTCACCATGCCTATTACTAAATACCTCAGACTACCTACACTCCAAAAAGCGGTCATTTGGGGGTATTTGTACTGTCTGTCAGAACTGACCAATATTCAGATATATAGATACCATAGTTTGTGGACTCTATAACTTTCCTACAGACAAAATAAAATACACTGATTTGGCTTATTTTTACCAAATAAATGTAGCAGAATAGATTTTGACCTATATTAATGAAGAAAGATTATTTGCAAAATTTTATAACAGAAATGAAGAATAATGCAATTTTCTATCTTTTTTAATTTATTTAGCAAAAAAAAAGGTGATTACGTACCACCAAAAGAAAGCTCTGTGTGAAAAAAAAATTATAAAAAGTTCATATGGGTACAGTGTTGCATGCCCGCAAAATTGTCATTCAAAGTGTGACAGAGCTGAAAGCTGAAAATTGGCCTGGGCAGGAAGAGGGTAAACGTGCCCTGTATTGAAGTGTTTAAAAAAAATAAGTTTACAATCACTTTAAAACTGAACTCAAGACTACTTTTTAAAATGTCCTGGCTTACAATAGATTAAATCCAACAAGGCTTATTTTACCCTGTGGCCTTAACTTGTTTATTTACATTTTAAATGTTTATTGAGCACCAGCAGTACAGCTATTGCTACACTCCCATCACTCTGACAGAACAAATGCTGCTTTCACCCACAATATTAGCTATGCAGCTGCAGAGCCATGTCCAGCCACTCTGCCCACCCCCTCATCTCCGCTGTTCATTGATATAAAACTCGGCTATCCCAAAGCTCGCCATAGACATCAGTGGGTTTTCAGATATACAGACACAATCTGGCTTGAGCCCCAGGATATGTGTGTTATTCATTAACAGTCCAACAGGTCGCCAGTCTCTGTGCCAGCCAAAATGTCCCTAAAGACAAACAGATGTCGTAAGCTAGCCATACATACATTGAAATTCAACCAGTTCAGCAGGGACCAGGGGCCGACTGACCATTTGGAAACTCGGGCACTGCCCGAGGGCCCGGGGTCAGTAGGGGGCCCCATGAGATGCCCCTGGTACCTTTTTCATAGGCTTTTTTGAGTTTGGGCAAGGACACAGGGGCCCCATGATCCCCTATCGCCCAGGGGCCCCATGAGTTGTCAGTCCGTCCCTGGCAGGGACTGGACAAATTTTGATCCATGTATGGCCAGGGAGGTGTAAGCCGTGTACCGGGGTGGGCTCCCCAGGATACAGTGAAGTCACGAACGAGGAAATCAACCCCAACACCAGCTTTTGTCACAACAGAATTTGACTTAGATGTGGCAAATAAACAAAACCACAAATGCTGGAATATATAATAAATTTGCATACACTCAGCCCAAAGGCTGAGACCCTTGTGCTGCGCAGCACGGTGCCTTCTGATGGATGAAGGTAGAAAGTATTGTAATTTACCTACTGGCGGGCACAACTAAGCTGCCACACCTTACCTGTTATTACCCTAAAAGAGCAGGAATCAGTGTATGGGTGTATGGTATGGGCTAGCCTGCGATGCAGCACAACAGCTTACAATCTTACACAAATCTACAGTATTCCCTCTCCCATAACTGGTCCTGTGGCACGTGCCTCAGTATTCCTTCTGAGCAAAACGCCAGTCTGGCTTGAGTTTGTAGGATTTTATCAGCTCTCCAATGTGAAATGTCACTTTAAGTTGTGGAGTCCTTCCAATGATCAGTAACAACACTTGTGGCCTGACACAAACAGAGACCCTAACTAACTAACTATAGGCCTGTCTCAGTCCTATAGGCACCAACACTGAAATGAGGTGTGTGCACGATCTTACCGACCCGGGTCTGCTTTGCATCCGCTGGTGACTCTGAACAAAACAGATGTCTCTCCGCTAAGCATGCGATGTCATCAACAGTATATGTTGCTTTGCTCCTCTCTCCTCATCAGCTTCCTGGCAGCAAATCTTCCTTTCTTTGAACAGGGTTAGCGTCTTCAACACCATCAGCTTCACTCAAGTGAATTTCTGATTACGGAGGGCCGTCCTCACAACTGGATGGTGACGGATTCTCAGATCACTCAGCCATCTTCTCTCTCAAGCATGGCTACCCTTCTTTTTCCTGTTCACTCTCCAAGTCCCAAAACCCCACCCCTTCATGAATATAGAAATCTCTATGCAGTCTGAGGCTGTGTTAGAAAAAAAAACAGTGACATCTTGTGGCTAAACTGCAGAATGTCAGTCAGAACGTTTTTAATTTACTTCACTCAGTGTTCAAACAATTAAAGCTGTTTCCCCATCTCACAGAGGTTGCAAAAAAGTCAATCTACGGACTAACTTCTGTACAACCATCCTGACGGATTTTTACCTGCTTGATCAGCACTACAGTCCACAACACTGATCAGTGGATTCTGATGGCAGGGAGGTCTCCCAGCTGTCAGAAATACAATATCTCAGCGGGAAGGATTCCTTCCTCCATCTCGAGTGTGTGGATGGGGGAATCAAATCAGTTTTTTTTTTCATTCAACTCGCTGACTGATCGATGAAAACTGGCATCTATGGGCTGCCTTAGGTCAATTGTTCGTGTTGAGGTTTATGAGGACACGGGAGACAAGCTGCTGACATCTCCAGCAGTGGTTTAATAAGTGGAAACAAAAACAATTAGTCCTGTTTCACACTGAATGCAGCTTTGAACGCGTGCTGCTTCACTTGAAGCAATGTGATTTCAAAGCCGCTGGTCAGTGTGATTTTATGTGCCTGACATCTCTGTGACTTCATGCACACGTCTATGTAAGTGGCACATGTAATCTCCAAAAATAATACAGGAACCTTTTTTCAAAATCAGTGCCGCACCACAAGATTGGCACCAATTTGAATGGTTCCACAGGCACAAATAGGGTGCGAATCATGCGATTTGGAACTGTCAAGTCACATGACAAGTCACGTTGATGTGAACCAGGGCTGAGACAAGGTTTTCTAAGGCCTCATTTAAACTTGTGGTTGGGGGGTTGGAAAAAACACAGGGTTGAGCTACAACTTTTACTGCCCCTCCCACCTCCTCCCTCTAAACTGCAAAGGCAGTGGACAGGAGTATACATGTGGAAAAAATGATGTCCCTTTTCTTGTTTGACGGGAAGTGTTACCCATCCAACGTGACCTTTTTACCTGAATAGGATTGCACTGTAACAGCTCCACAACTGTGTGCAATGCATTCCACAGCATTTTGGGGTTAAAACAGGTGGTGAGGAAGTGACATAACTCCTCAGCACCATCTGTCATACACTCTCTGAAGAGCGATCCACCATGGATCACGCTTCAGAGGGCACAACAAGTGTAAACAAGCCTTAGAGGTGCTACAGACATTGGAGAATATTTGCTCTAATACAAGTTTTATGATCAGATAAAGGAATATTCATAAATTTGTGTTCACCTCCATGACTTGTCCAATGTATGCAGCCTGCCTGATCATTCACTGTTGCCTTCAATACATCTGAGCCAGCAGTATACGAAGGTAGCTTAGAAACAACAGATTGTTACCTGACATGGCCAAAAACAACCAGATCAAGCAAACTGCCATCTAATCTTTATGGGCACCAGATCCCATAGCCAGTCAAAATTCATCTGTCACTGACTTCAAGAAACATAAACTTGGTTTGATGAAGATATTTCACATCATTAATGCTGTTAGTATTTCTTTTTTTTTTTTTTTTCATTTCATTGTACATTTCTATTTAAAATAATTTTCCTAGACAATAAACAGAGGTAGAAAGTAAACATATGGAAGTACATATCATAGTATGATGTACATAGGCAAAGTCCAGTGGCAGACACATTGCTGGTAATATTTTTATTGAATAAAGCCATTGTTTGTGAACAGTTCCGTCAAGCATATTGTATGCAGAACAGTTATATACTTTTTTTTCACATATCCATTACACTGCACGTGCCAGTACTTGTGTACAACAACATGCAGGCATGAAGATCACTAGATAATTGGCATACGCTGTAACCATAATGTGAAACCACTAAGATCTGTCTTTACTAACTGTGCCTGATGTTGTCAGGCATTTGCGGAGAACAGCTGGATAGTCCTTTCTGGTTTTCAGAACTTGTCAGTTATCGATCCTTTCGGTTGCGTACCCTGATGAAACCACTCAGAGATTTAATTGCAAATTAGGCAATTCAACTAATGTTTTAACTTCTCACATGCTGGACACAGACAGCAGCCACTGGATATAACGGGTTCTCTGTTTTGCCACAACTCTTTAAGCTGCTCAGTCCACACTGACACACCTGGTTATAGGTAGAAAGTTGCTCACACCTGTGTAACCTAAATGTTACCACTCTAACAGTGTACAGAAAAAAGGCCACAAGCAACTTGATGGTAAATAAAATAAGTGTATTATGGCAAGGCAATTAATTCAAGAATCAGTAAACAGGCATTTGAACATGTATAAAGATGCTGTACTAGCTAATGTGAACACTGACCCACAAGATGGCAATCAACTAAACTGTAGTAACGGTAAACCAATTTTTTACTGATGCAAAGATGGTTAAAAGTATCAGCATTAACAAATTCAACAATAAATGTCCTGGTGTGCACGCTACACATACAGCTTCAACAGTGGGTGGGTGTATTCGCTCCTGTCAAAGAGATGCCCCTGGAGGTGACTACAAGTACTTGGAGCTGAATTGTCAGTGTTAGCTGGCTATTGTTGGGGCCCTTCTGTGAGGTGGTGCACATGAAGCTGTCTCCGTACCATGGTTGGCTGATGGGCTGCTAAGTAGGGAGCAGGCTCTGTTATCATTAACTGTGGGCAGTAAGGTGTTACTTGGTAGTTCTGCCCACCACTACTGGAATCCTATCCAGAACATTTGGCAGTCTGCTGTCCTCAATTACACAGGACCCGGTGACTCAGTCCTCATGAACAGGTCCTCATGAGGCTCAGTCTCTCAGCTCTGGTCTTCACTGGTTCACCCTTGCTGTAGACACACATTGCAACAGGTCCTTCCAGCTATAGTCCCAGCTCAGTAAACAATCTCTCAGTGGCTCATTCTCACTAGTGCTATGCTCAGGCACCAGTAACAGGTGCGTATTGCTTGGCTTCCTCCTGCAAAAGACCCAGTTTTCTCTCCCAAACCCTGGAGAAGTCCGAGTCACCATGCGATGGCCTCCATTGTACAGCGCTCCTTTAAGAACTATATATCCCATGATCCTCCACAGCTGCACAGGAAATCTCCTCTGCCACTGTTGATTGCCTCAAAAACTGCTGCCAGGAAGGAGGAGCAAGCAGCGGATCACACAGAGCCACTCTGATCCTCATTTCAACAGCTGTGGAAGGAGGGAGAAAAAGACTACAGCCAGCAGCTGACACAGCCGCACTGCAATCATAAAGCCCAGCGCTCCTCCAGCCAGCAGGACAATTGCGGTAGGGCCACGTAGAGTGGGTACAGGAACACAAGCCTGTTCCTCAGCTGTCTACAATATTTTATATTAAGACAATGTTGTTGGGTAGCCATATACTGTACCCGTCACAGAGCTGCAATCATCAGGTAAATCACTATCAACCCATCAATCTGTGTCCTAAATGATGAACCACTAGTGGGGTGGCAAAAAAACACAACATACAGCTTTAAGGCATGTTATGTGGAAGATTTGTGTATTTTCCATGTCGCCCTTAAAGCTACGCAAACAAAAAAAAATTAAATGTTGGCATCAGCCCAAACTCCCCATAACAGTGATCATCCTCCTATGTCTATTAGTCCTAAAAATGGACAGAATATACTAACAGGGCTTGCCACCTTTCTACCTTCAATGGGACTTTCAGCTAAGTTTGGGTTTCACAAATTTCAAAAAGAATTGGACGAACCTCCTGAGAATCAAACCCAAGCTGATTCACCCAGCCCTACACTGGAAGAATGACAAGCTAGTGATCCTCATCCCAACATTACTAATCATGGGGGCTTATAAGGGAAGGGGACCCAAATTTAAAAAGGGACACTGAGCATGATGGCAGCTACAGTTGAAGGCTCTGCCTACATTTGTATAAACTCCCGTGGTCTTGTGGGAGGCCCAGTGGAGTGGTTTACCCTTATAAGTATGTGGCTCTATTGCCACATCATCCCTGTACATATATTCACAGCTATTTGTCACTGAAAAAGCAGCACACAAACATGATG